GGGGATATGTAACCCAAGGGCTCCCTAAAACTCCCTATTACTCCCTAGGGCTCTCGCTAGGCACTTACCCCCCTATGAACCCTATGAACCCTTAAGAGCCCTGCAAGTTTAGCTCGTGAGGTTAGGCGCTCCAGGGGCCGTTATATTGGTGTGGCAGAGAGGAGTGCAAGCGCTGAGGGTGGGGGAACTGGAGTTGATTCGGACAGCCTTTGCAGTCCCAGTTATAATGCCCGGATAATTCTACGTAAACCCTAAACCCTAAACCCTAAACCCTAAACCCTAAACCCTAAACCCTAAACCCTAAACCCTCGACCCTCGACCCTCAACCCTCAACCCTCAACCCTCAACCCTCAACCCTCAACCCTCAACCCTCAACCCTCAACCCTCAACCCTCAACCCCTCAACCCTCAACCCTCAACCCTCAACCCTAAACCCTAAACCCTAACCCCTAAACCCTAAACCCTAAGCCCTAAAGGCTGCCCCGAACTTTTCGGCTTTCGTCGTGGACCCGCTGCGGGTTCTTATTACGAGCCTTCCTGGGCCGAACTTACCCTCATTGTTTAGGGTTCAGGCTTTCGGGTTGAGGGTTAGGGTTTACGATTTAGGGTTTAGCGTTGAGGGTTTAGGGTTTAGGGTATAGGGAAAAGGGTTTAGGGTTACTAGGCACCCCTCAATGCACATAAGGTGTGTGGGATAGAAAATTCCCTAAGAGTTCTAAGTGGACCCTCCGGGTTATGCATCTGTGTAGCACCAATCTAGCGTCCTTAAACCCCAAACCCTAAACTTCGTACTCGTACCACAGATGTAAGATACTTACGCGAGCCCCGTGGGGAGTGGGGAGGATGCAGGGGGCTTTGGGGAGTGGGGAGGGGGGGAGTGGGGCCGCATACGTGTAGGGTATAGGGTTTTGGTTTAGGGTTCAGGGTTTAGGGTTTAAGGTTTAGGGTTTAGGGTTAGTTTCAGGGGCCTGAACGACGCTGCATGTGGCTCACAGCTCCAAAACGTTTGCCCTGCCATGGCAGACACGGAGGCAGCTGACCCTGACCTATTGCTACTCCCAGAACATGGGTTTTAGGTTTCGGGTTGGGTGTTGAGGGTATGTCGGCAGCTTATACATGCCGTATATGTAAACCGTCATTAAGGTGCTTAATCTGAATCCGAAGTGCTCCAAAGGGTTTAGGGTTCAGGGTTTAGGGTTTAGGGTCCCTAAACCCCCAACACCAAACCCTAAACGCGAAACCTAAACCCTAAACCGCCTAAACCGCCTAAACCCTAAACCCTAAACCCTAAACCCTAAACCCTAAACCCTAAACCCTAAACCCTAAACCCTAAACCCTAAACCTTAAACCCTAAACCCAAGTCCCGGCGCCAGGGGGCACCGCAAGATGTTGCGGAACTCCAGGCGGCTCTAGCTGCCGCAGAGGCTCAGATGCGCGAGGGTCAGTTCTCTAAGTGATGGTCCCTTTTTGGGTAGGGTTTCGGTTTAGGGCTTGTTTAGGCTTTATAGGCTTTAGGCTTTAGGCTTTAGGCTTTAGGCTTTAGGGTTCAGGGTTTAGGCTTTAGGCTTTAGGGTTTAGGGCTTAGGGTTTAGGGTTTCGGCTTGAGGGTTTCGTCTTTAGGGTTGAGGGTTTATGTATGCTACGGTCCCCGAATGTTTCAGGCAACCCCACCGGTCCAAAATTTAGAGACCTGGCAAGCTGGCAATGGTTCCCAAAGACTCCCGAACGCTGTAGTTTCGCCAGTCAAAACCCTAAGCCCCTGCTTTGGGGCCCCACAATCAGGTGACCTTAGAACAAAGTCTTGCACATGTTTGGGGCTTAGGCTTTCGCCTGGAAGGTTGCGGGGTTATTCTACTTTTTGTGTGTTTTTTGAGGGTTTAGGGTTGAGGGTTTAGTTTTTAGGGTTAGAAGCAGTCTTTGTTGGTTAATTGGGTTTGAACTTTGTGCGTTTAGGCTTGGGTTGTAGCTTCTCACCTTTTTCGACTACCCATGAACCATCCGGTGGAGGTTCATACATCCTCAACCACTACTATTTGCTTAAAAAACCGCCCAAGGAGCAAAGCCCTCCTAGGTAGGATAAGGGGGACCCTTAAAAGGGAACCCCTTCTTAACCCTCTGCTGGCTCTCTTAAACAGGGACCTTATTCAGAGGGTCTATATCCCCAAGGGTCCCCCTAATCCTCTCCGCTTAAAGCACAGTAATCCCTAGAGTGCCCTTATAAGGAAGAACCTGTATGCTTTTCAGGGGTCTTCAGCACATAGTCGGCATGGTCGCTAGAACCCTGAACCATGAACCCTGAACCCTAAACCCTAAACCCTTAACCCTAAACCCTAATCCCCAAACCCCAAACCCTAAGGTTTCTACCCTCTGGTTTGTACGTGTTAGGCGCTGAAAACTGGAGGGGACATCGGGTCGAGGTTCAGTGTTTAGGGTTTAGGGCTAGGATTTAGGGCTAGGGCTTAGGGCTTGGGGCTTAGGGCTTGGGGTTTAGGGCTTAGGGTTTAGGGTTTAGGGTTTAGGGCTTAGGGTTTAGGGTTTAGGGATCAGGCTTCAGGGTTCAGGTCCAAGAGCCGTTCCGTCTGAGAGGCGGAGTATGCCGAGCTCCAGGCCGCGCTGACGTCGGGCCAGCAGGAACTCCAGGAGGCGAGAGCGCGCGCGCGCGTGTGATTCCTTTAGGGCCCAAGAGGTGATCGACCGCCCCTAAACCCTAAACCCTAAACCCCAAACCCTAAACCCCAAACCCTAAACCCTAAACCCTAAACCCCAAACCCCAAACCCCAAACCCTAAACCCCAAACCCTAAACCCTCCAAACCCTGTACCCCCAGCCTCGCTATCCTTCGGTGTCACGGAACCAATAGGTCTGCCCTCCGATCTGCGGCCATTGTGCCAGTGGCCATTCTGCAGATCCTTCCCTTTGGGTTTAGGGTTTAGGGTTTAGGGTTTAGGGCTTAGGGTTTAGGGTTTAGGGTTCAGGGTTTAGGGTTTAGGGGTTAGGGATTTGGGTCCCCCTGTTTTTAGCCCTTATATACAATATGCCCAATAAGGGCCCATACTGCGGATCCCTTTGAGGCACTTGAAACAAGGGCAAGGGACCATACTAAGGGCCCCTGGTTCAACCTTAGACTGTTTTGGCATGCCGGGGGTATCCCTAAACCCTAAACCCTAAACCCTAAACCCTAAACCCTAAACCCTAAACTCTAAACCCTACTGCCCCGTTTTTTCAAGGCTGCTTGCTGGGAGCAGACCGCAGGTTGTGTTCTTAGTAGGGAATCAGGGATTTAGGGAAGTAGTGCGGCCAATTAAGGCGTTAGAAAAGGTGAATGTAAGGTACCCGGTTCCCTATTCCCCATGAAGTTTTCAGAGAGCTTCTGTGCAAGAAAGCGGCGGAATTCTGGAATCTCAGCAGACTTGTTTCGACAGTCGGTTTAAGCCCCGTGAGGCTTTGTTGAACGTATCGAGACATTTCTGCACACGTAATCCAAAGACGTTGGTTATCCTGCTAAACTTTGTAGTTTTAAGCGATGAATGCAGAATAACCGCAACTGAAATTCAAGCAATTGCACAAACGTAGTTTTATTGTGGCCTTGTCGGTGTCCTTACGGAGGGCTTAACCCCAGAATCCTGAACCCGAAACCCCGAACCCTAAGCCTCTTGTGTTCGCTCCCCTCATTCTCGTCCGTCAACATCGTCGAATTCATGCAAGATGAATATCTAACCCTAAGCCCTAAGCCCTAAGCCCTAAACCCTAAACCCTAAACCCTAAACCCTAGGGTATAGGCGGATTTTTGCGCGGAGGCGCCGTTGGCCGCGGGCCGCGGGCCGCGGGCCGTGGGTGGGGGGGCGGGCTGCGGGCCGCGGCCGTGAGGGGGGGCGGGTATGAATCTTGTTGAAACTCATCGTCTGAGCATTGGTTGCAAATGCGGGGGGCTGCGCCCCCCCCCAACCCCCTAACCCCCCGCTTCTGGGCTGCACCCCCCCCAACCCCCCCGCTTCTTTTAAGCCGTGCAGAGCGTGCTTCAAAGCGTAAGCATCTCGCTGAAACCCATCATGTGAATTGTGTTCGCAAATAGGGGGCTGCGCCCCCCCCCAACCCCCCCGCCTCTTTTGAGCCGTGCAAAGCATGCTTCAAAGCCTAAGCATCTTGCTGAAACCAATCATGTGAGTAGTGGTTGCAAATGGGGGGGGGGGCTGCGCCCCCCCCAACACCCCCGCTTCTTTTAAGCCGTGCAAAGCGTGATTCCAAGCCTAAGCATCCTGCTGAAACCCATCATGTGAGCAGTGTGTTTGCAAATGCGGGGGGCTGCACCCAAAGCTTACGAACGTTGTTGAATTGCATCGTGTGAGCATTGAGGTTACAAATGGGGGCGGGGGCTGCGCCCCCCCCAACCCCCCCGCTTTTTTTAACTGTGCAAAGTATGCTTCATGCCTATGAATCTTGTTGAAACTCATCGTCTGAGCATTGGTTGCAAATGGGGGGCGGGCGGGGGTCAACCCCCCAACCCCCCCGCTTCTTTTAAGCCGTGCAAAGCGTGCTTCCCGGCCTAAGCAACCTGCTGAAACCCATCATGTGAGCATTGTGTTGTTGCAAATGGGGGGGGGGGCTGCGCCCCCCCCCAACCCCCCCGAGGAGGACCCCATCCTCTTCGAGGAGGACCCCTTCAAGACGGACGATGCTTCTTTATTCCGAAACCTGAATCGCAACCTGGAATCACAACTTCATACCGGCAAGACGAGAAGCCCGAGCATAAGAAACTGCCTAGTCCGAGTCGGTGTCGGACTCGGACCCATCCGAGGAAGTGGAGCTGCTGGTAGAGCTGGACGACGATGAGGACTAAAAGGGTTGGCGGCTGGAAGGTTTGGAGTCTAGGCTGGGCTTAGGAATCAGGCGCAGGCTGCGCTTGCCCGCGTCAAGTGGAGATCGTTTCACGCTAGAAAATGTGGCTCTGCCATAAGTATATCGCAACCAGACATGACAAGCAGCCCGCCTTTAAGTCCCGACGATGGACCAACTGACGCACCCTGCACAAGACCTCCTGGCGACAGCGGTCGCCGGAATTTTCTGGCAGTGTGTGCTTCAATTCTGACGCATTGTGCGCCTCACATGTTCAAACGTGGCATGAGAGCGACGAGGTCGCTCTTCGTCTTCTGCGGGCAGATGCCTTGTCGGCGGGCCGTATTGGGCTTCTCCGCCAACGCAGGCAAAGACATAGAGAAACAACCCTCACGTGTCACCTGGAGGGTTTACAGTTTACGGTTTCGGATGTAGGGTTGAGGGTGAAGCTTTATCGCCTGAACGTCCTAAGCCCTATGCGCCTACAGCCTAGAGTAGAGGAAGCAAAAAGAAAAGAACCGGGCACCCGGCCGGGCAGGGGGGGCGGGTTGGGGGGAGACCCCACACACAGCGTACGCGACACAAGCAAGAAGGCACCAACAACGAACCGGGTCCGGCCAGGAGAGGTGGGTGGGTTGGGGGGAGGCCCCACACCGGGTTGTTTTTCTTGTTGTCGTTTGTTTTTTTCTTTCTAGGCTTCATTATTTCGTTCTTTCTTTCTCGCTTGCTTTTTTGAGCTCTTTCTTTCTTTCTTTCTTGCGTTATTTCTTTCGTTCTTTACCACGGGGCGGGGCCGGGCCGCGGGGCCGGGCCGCGGGGGCTGACCGCGGGGGCCTGGCCGGGGCAGGGGCCTGGCCAAACCGCGAAAACCGACCCGCGAAGGCCGGGCGCGGGGCCCGGGAAGGGGCCGGGCCGCGGGGGGCGGGCCGCGGGGGCGGGCCGCGGGGCCGGGCCGCAGGTCGCGGGCCGCAGGAGGCGCCGGGCCGCGCATGAATCCGCCTATTATGAAACCCTAATCCATAACGACTATCATCCTTCAAATTCTATCCTGTCAAACAGACAAAACCGCTGATATACTGGGTCCAGGCCTCCCGGGGTTACCTAGGAATAAGAAGGCCTGACGAGGGTTTAGGGTTTAGGGGTTGAGGTTTCGACCCTAAACCCTAAACCTCAAACCCTAAACCCTAAACCCTAAACCGTAAACCCTAAACCCGAAACCCGAAACCCTAAGCCCTAAACCCGAAACCCGAAACCCTAAACCCTAAACCTTAGGCTTCAAAAGACAGCACCAAGACCCTATAAGACCCGAAGAGCCTCTCGTGAGGCACGCCGCGCTGGCTCGGCTCTGCTCACGGCGTCGGAGGCAGTCCCTCGCTCAGAGATCCGGATTTTGGGTTTCGGGTTTAGGGTTTAGGGCCAGCAGGTTTAGCGTTTAGGGTTTAGGGTTGACGTTTGTGGGTTTCGGGAGTTGGGCGGAGGGTTTCAGGGGCTTGGGGTTTAGGGCCTGTTTTTCGTGTGAGGGGAGCTTAGCGTTTAGGATTTAGGGATTGTTACTGAGGGCTCAGAGCATAGGTGGCATAGGAGCTTACCCCAAACCCTGCACTCTGAACCCCAACCCCACAAAAGCTTTTGTGTGCTGAGTATATGGGGGTTTACGAAAATAGGGGACCTCAAATATAGACCCCTAAATAGTAGGATGCCTTTATAATAAGGACCCCAAGAAGGTATTCTCGTAACCCCCCCATGTCCGGATTCTAAGCCGAGGGTCCTTTTTTTTTTCCGACTGCGTGTTCATCTAGGCGATCATGCTGGTGACACAGCTGGGTTTCTGCCGAAATTTTGGGGTACCTTATTGGGGTCCCTTGTTGTAAGGGCATCCTACTATGTGGGGACTATATTTCGTGAACCCCCGGCTAGCACAGTCAAATGTTTCAAGCATCTTGGATGTTGCCTTGGCTTTTGCACTCTGCATATATGAAGCACAGGTGCCTTTATTATCATACTTTCCAGAAGGCAACTCATCTGACAGTGTCTGTGTCTGTGCTGTGTCTGTGTCTGTGCCTGTGCCTGTGCCTGTGCCTGTGCCTGTGCCTGTGCCTGTGCCAGTGCCAGTGCCAGTGGGTGTGTGTGTGTGTGTGTGTGTCTCTGTGTTGGCTTGCTTGCTTGCTTGCTTGTTTGCTTGCTTGCTTGTTGCTTGCTTGCTTGCTTGCTTGTTTGTTTGTTTGTTTGCTGTTAGCTTGTTAGCTTGTTAGCTTGTTAGCTTGTTAGCTTGTTAGCTTGTTAGCTTGTTAGCTTGTTAGCTTGTTAGCTTGTTAGCTTGTTAGCTTGTTAGCTTGTTAGCTTGTTAGCTTGTTAGCTTGTTAGCTTGTTAGCTTGTTGGCTTGTTGGCTTGTTGGCTTGTTGGCTTGTTAGCTTGTGCGCTTGCTTGCTTGCTTGCTTTCTTGCTTGCTTGCTTGCTTGCTTGCTTGCCATTTGTGTATGGTTAAGGGTTAAGGGTAGGGTTTAGAGTTTGGGGTTTCAGGTAGGGCTTAGGGTTTCAGGGTTTTTGGGGTTTAGGCTTTGGGTGTTTAAGGCTTTGGGGTTTTAGGGCCTGCGCTTGTTAAGCTTCAGGGTAGTCGTGCTGCAAGTGCCTGGACGCAGATGAGCCCTAAACCATAAACCATCAACCCTACACCCGAAACCCTAAACCCTAAACCCCAAACCCTGAACCCCAAAACCCTCAGCCCTTGACGTGCTCTAAAAGCTCAGCCGCACTGCCAGCATAGCAGTCGGAATCATTGCTAAAATGATTCCCTTATGGTCCCTTTGTAATTATACTATAACAACCCCCAAAACCCTGTTCTAACTACTGCACTTATAAACTTATAACTGTGCTTAGAACCAGGGGCGTATAAGTGGGTTGTAAGTACAGTGTCAGTTGGTTAAACCCTAAACCCTAAACCCTAAACCCTAAACCCGAACCCCAAGCCGTAAACCCTAAACCCTAAACCCTAAATCCTAAACCCTACCCCCTAAGCTCTAAACCCAAACCCTAAACCCTAAACCCTAAACCCTAAACCCTAAACCCTAAACCCTAAACCCTAAACCCTAAACCCTAAACCCTAAACCCTAAACCCTAAACCCTAAACCCTAAACCCTAAACCCTAAACCCTAAACCCTAAACCCTAACCTAAACCCTAAACCCTAAACCCTAAACCCTAAACCCTAAACCCTAAACCCTAAACCCTAAACCCTAAACCCTAAACCCTAAACCCTAAACCCTAAACCCTAAACCCTAAACCCTAAACCCTAAACCCTAACTAAGTACAGGTATAACTCATGAATAAGTACCATGAACCTCCCGCCGAGGCCCTGGCCCCCCTCTTCGCGAAGCTGGCTGCTGCTAGGCGTGCCGGGGCTCTCTCGTTGTTAGGGTTTAGGGTTTAGGGTTTAGGGTCTAGGGTTTAGGGTTTAGGGCTTAGGGTTTAGTGTTGAGGGTTCAGGGCTCTCTCGGTGTTAGGGTTTAGGGTTTAGGATTTACGGTTTAGGGTTTGGGGTTTATGGGGTGTCAGCTTCAGCCATTTGGGGTTTAGGGTCTGACTAGGAATAACTGGCATTTCCCAGGAGAGCAGGACTCCAGACCCTGAGCCCTCAACCCTCAATTGCCCTAACCTCTCAACCCCTCGACCGTAAACCCTAAACCCTAAACCCTAAACCCTAAACCCTAAACCCTAAACCCTAAACCCTAAACCCTAAACCCTAAACCCTAAACCCTAAACCCTAAACTCTAAACCCTAAACCCTAAACCCTAAACCCTAAACCCTAAACCCTAAACCCTAAACCCTAAACCCGCAGCCTAAACCCGGGTCAGCGCACCAAGCCCTGCACCCCTGAAAGTCTGGACCAAAACCCAAGAAGCCTCTGGACACTCTACACCGTAGTGTCTAGGGTTTGGGGCTGAGGGGTTTGCGGGGTTTGGGGTCCAATCGCGTGAAATTGGGGTTTCGGGTCTTGAGCCTGAAGCCCTAAGCCCAAAGCCAACTCTTATCCTAAACCCGAAATGAACCCGTAAACCCGAAACCCTAAACCCTAAACCCGCAACCCTAAACCCGAAACCCTAAACCCTAAACCCTAAACCCCTGCATTCTCCTCGGCCGCCAGGGAAGAGACAGATCGGGTTCTTCCGCCGGTCTTATCAAAAGACGAGGCGCGAGTCGGAAACGGCTGCCTTGAGTCCAACTTCCCCCAGGGTTTATTTAGGGTTTAGGGTTTAGGGTTTAGGGTTTAGGGTTTAGGGTTAGGGTCTGGAGTTTAGGGTAACCCTAGAACGTGGAGCCCAACCCCCAACCCCCAACCCTCAACCCTCAACCCTGAAGACTCAAGCCTCAAGCTTACACCCCCTAAACCCTAAACCCTAAACCCCAAGCCCTAAACCCTCAACCCTCAACCCTCAACCCTCAACCCTGAACCCTAAACCCTAAACCCTAAACCCTAAACCCTAAACCCTAAACCCTAAACCCTGAACTCTAAATAAACCCTAAACCCTAAACCCTCAACCGAGACTAAAGGGGTTGGTCACCAGGGTTGCCATCAGGGAAGGCGGGCGCGCGGGGTAGGTTTCACTGGTGTACCTGGTAGACCTCAACGCCCCAAAATCAAAAAGAACGCAGGTTCACTGCAGTAGTGGTTTGGGGTTTGGGGTTTAGGGTTTGGGGTTTAGGGTTTAGGGTTTAGGGTTTAGGGTTTAGGATTTAGGGTTTGGGGGTTTTGTGGGTTTTTGTGGTTTTTTGTGGTTTTTGGGGTTTCGGGTTTAAGGCCCTAAACCGTGTTTTTCGGGTGCCTGGTGCATCCCTGGGGGCCTTACGGGGGCGCCCTTCCGAGAAGTGAAAACCCTAAACCCTAAACCCTAAACCCTAAACCCTAAACCCTAAACCCTAAACCCTAAACCCTAAACCCTATAATCCCTTCCCTAAACCCTAAGCCGCAAATCGCCCAAGCTGCATGAGTCCTTGGGAAGTCTCTTTGGGGCCGAGGCTGCTTAAAACTAGAGCCCCCCTTCAGCCCAAAGCCGCAAGGCCCTACACCTACACCCCTTTAGGGTCTAGGGCCTAGGGTTTAGGATTTGGGGTTTGGGGTTTAGGATTTAGGGCTTAACCCCCCTAAACCCCCTAAACCCCCTAAACCCCCTAAACCCCCTAAACCCTAAACCCTAAACCCTAAACCCAAAACCCTAAACCCTAAACCCTAAACCCCCTCTGCCCCAACAAGCCATGAGGAGTCGTCCGCCAGCGGGCTTTCGTCACGGGAGGCTGTAGAGGCGAGCCGATTTGGGCTTGGGGCTCTTTTGGGTTTAGGGTTTGGGGTTTGGGGTTTAGGGTTTAGGGTTTGGGTTCTGGGCTTGGGGTTTAGGGTTCAGGGTTTAGGTTTAGGGCTTGCAGTATAGGGTTTAGGGTTTTGGGCTTGGGGTTTGGTGTTATTTGTTACAGTATAGGGTTTATCAGGAGGAGTTTGTGTGCCCCACTTCCACGTGCCCCCGCTACTCTCGCCTGATCCTCTGCAGTTTTAGAATTGGGCTCTAAGTCGCTGTAAGCTACTTTAAGTCGCGTGAAGCCACTTTAAGTCGCTTGAACCAACTTTAACAGGCTTCATATCACTTTAAATCGCTTTAAGACATATTGCCGATTAAGAGCTCTGGCCGATTCGGGGGATGTTGCATGGTTGAGCTGATTTTACCCTCGAAATACCTTCTGCAAGACGGTGTAACACAGGGTGAGTTTCAATGGCCCGTGCGGTGCCCATTATTCCTGGTGGAGCTGCTGCAGGGGTTGCGTTCTGTCATGACCGAGTTGTTCAAGGAACGACGCCCCTTCGAGCTGGAGCTGCACATCCAGTCCGAGTGGCATGCTGGCCGCCGTATGGCGTGGGGGGGGATGGGGGGCGGCGGGCGGAGGGGGAGGGTGAAGAGGCGGGCGGAGGGCGAGGGGGGGGGAGGAGGGGTTAGAGAAGCTTGGAGTGTTTTAGAGTAATGGGGGCACCCCCCCAAAACCCTCGCGTTTGCGGAGTTTCGGGGGGCGCCCCCGTTACTCTACATCTCTTTCCCCCCCCAACCCCCCCCCCCCCCCCAACCCCCACCCCAACCCCCCGGTCACCCAGACCAGACCCCCCTAAACCCGAATGATAATTCACAGCGTATCTATAAAGTAACTCTTTTTAATGCATTGGGGGCACACAAGCACCTCCTGAGTTTAGGGTTTTGGGCATTGGTGTTTTCGGCCCTGAACCCGAATTCGCTAAACCCCCAAAAAGGCTCGGACCCCTGAAGTAAAGCCTAAACCCTAAACCCCAAACCCCAAACCCCAAACCCTAAACCCTAAACCCTCAACCCTAAACCCTAAACCCTAAACCCTAAACCCTAAACCCTAAACCCTAAACCCTAAACCCCAAGCCCTAAGCCCTAAACCCTAAACCCCAAAGCGGCTTCTTGAAGCCTGCTGCTGGCTTGCTGGGGGACCGAAAAGCTAGCTTCTTTATCTACTTAACGGTTCTGTGGGGCCTCCTAAGGGCCCCCCAAGCCCTAAATCCAAACCCCTAACCCCTAACCCCTAAACCCTAAACCCTGAACCCTGAACCCTGAACCCTGAATCCTAAACCCTAAGCCCGAAACCCGAATCCCTAAGCCCTAAACCCTACATCTGTACACCCTGAAATCTAAGGTTGGAACCATGGGCCCTTCGTATGAACCCTTACCCTTGTTATAGTGATCCGAAGTACAGGCCCTTAATATGTAAAGTGTATGTAAGGGTTAGATAATCGGGTTCCCAAATGAAGGGCCCATACTTCGGACCCTAGGACCTAAACCCTAAACCCTAAACCCTAAACCCTAAACCCTAAACCCTAAACCCTAAACCCTAAACCCTAAACCCTAAACCCTAAACCCTAAACCCTAAACCCTAAACCCTAAACTGACAGGCCGAGATTGAGCATCTCCTGACAGACATCGATCATTTCAAGGTGGCCCTGCTCCGGGTTTAGGGTTTAGGGATTGGGGTTTAGGGTTTAGGGTTTAGGGTTAGGGGTTTGGGGTTTAGGGTTTAGGGTTTAGGGTTTAGGATCTAGGGTCTAGGGGTTTAGGTTCCGCAGGTTCAGAGTCTGCAGTTTGCGGCTCAGGATTTGGGGTTTCGGGTTTAGGGTTTGGGGTTTAGGGTTTAGGGTTTAGGGTTTAGGGTCTAGGGTCTAGTGTTTGGGGGTTCATGGGTTTAGGGTTTAGGGTTTAGGGTTTAGGGTTTAGGGTTTAGGGTTTAGGGTTTAGGATCTCAGGGAGAACCTTGGGATCGCGGAGCAGCCCATGAAACCACTGGCCTTAAACCCCAAACCCTAAAGCCTTTAAGCCCTAAGCCCTCTAAACCCTCTAAGCCCTCTAAGCCGTCTAAACCCTAAGAACCCTAAGAACCCTAAGAACCCTAAGAACCCTAAGAACCCTAAGAACCCTAAGAACCCTAAGAACCCTAAGAGCTAAGAACCCTAAGAGCCCTACGAGCCCTAACAACCCTAACAACCCTAAGAACCCTAAGAGCCCTAAGAACCCTAACAACCCTAAGACCCCTAGGAACCCTAAGAACCCTAAACCCTAAATCCGAACTAGTCTGCCTGTGAACAGCACATCATAGCAGCGCCCCGACGCAGAAAAAACACCTTCCGGTGAGAACCTGCCCGCCATTAAGTGCCCGAGTACAGATTGTGATCTGTTCATAAAACAGGTTGCCTTACCTGCAAGTATGTCCACAATAAACCCTAAACCCTAAACCCTAAACCCTAAACCCTAAACCCTAAACCCTCAACCCTAACCCCTAAACCCTAAACCCTAAACCCTAAACCCTAAACCCTAAACCCTAAACCCTAAACCCTAAACCCTAAACCCTAAACCCTAAACCCTAAACCCCAGCAGCTCGTGGAGATCTGAGGCCGCCAGCTACCGTCTCCAGGCCGAGGCTGTCTGGGCGGAGTAGGTGGAGGGGTTTAGGCTTTTTAGGGTTAGGGTTTAGGGTTTAGGGTTTAGGGTTTAGGGTTTCAGGGTTTCAGGGTTTCAGGGTTTCAGGGTTTCAGGGTTTCAGGGTTTCAGGGTTTCGGGTTTAGGGTTTAGGGTTTAGGGTTTAGGGTTAGGGTTTCAGAGTTTCAGGGTTTCAGGGTTCATAGGGTTTCGGGCTTAACCCCAAACCTAAAGCCTAAAGCCTATTAAACCTAAACTTTAATCCGATGGGGTTTTGGGGCGTTTGGGGTCGACGCTTAGGGTTCCCGCGGTGTTGAGTCCGCGTCTTAACCCAACAACGGCGCATCCCCAAATGTTTGGGGCTTCTTGTGTCCCACACTTGAAGGTCTCTGAGTCTCTGACGAAAAAAGGTTTAGGGTTCAGGGTTCAGGATTTAGGGCTTAGGGTTTAGGGCTTAGGGCTTAGGGTTTAGGTTTTGGGGCTAAGGGTTTCGGGCCGACGCACGTCGCACTTTTGGGTGCGTAGAGGGTGCTTCGTCTGCTCCTACCATCATTCTGTCCCTGAGGGTCTGCAGGGTTACCAGAAACACCTAAAAGCCTAAACCCTAAGCACTTATCCCTAAACCCTAAACCCTAAGCCCTAAACCCTAAACCCTAAGAACTAAAAACCCTAAACCCTAAACCCAAAGCCCTAAACCCTGAACCCTGCCTTTTGCCCGCAAGTTTCGGGCGGTCAGGGGCACAGGCTGAAGGTTGTCCTCATGTTCGGGGTGTTTGGGGTCTTGGGGTTGAGGGGTTGTGGGCCATACTTCGAACCTGAGCTCCAACCTCCCCAAACCCGAGGGTTTAGGGTTTAGGGTTTCGAGTTTAGGGTTTAGGGTCTCGGGTTGAGGGTTTAGGGTTTAGGGTTCCTAACCTCTCAGTTAACGTATGCGTAATCCAGAGGTCGGAGTAATTATTGTTCCCTTTCGGTCCCTTCATAATAATTTCCGAAATTAGGGGTATCTTGTTGGGGTCCTTATGCCAACGGGATCCTACTATTTGGGGGTCTACATTAGGGGGCCCTTATTTTCGTAAAGCCCCATATAGGGTTTAGGGTTCCTAAACCTCACAGTTAGCGTAAGCGTAGGCGCCCCCAAAGCCCTAGACCCTAAACCCAAAACCCTAAACCCTAAACCCTAAACCCTATTCTAGCTATTAAGCCCCCTATACTAATTATTAAGGCCCCTATAGTAGGCGCCCCAAAGCCCTAAGCCCTAAGCCCTAACACCGAAGCCCTAAGCCCTAAACCCTAAACCCTAAACCCCAAATCCTAAACCCTACACCGGGCACAGGACCGCCAGCGCTTCCATCATCTGGAAAAGCTGCGGGGCGAGCTTCAGGAGGACCCGAGCCAAGCCCCGAAGCCCTAAGCCCTAAACCCTAAACCCCAAACCCCAGACCCTAAACCCCATACCCTAAGCCGAAAAACCCTTAAACCTTCATGGAGCCGCGCGCCGACTTCCCCGGCGAAGCCTAAACCCTTGCTGGTTTTCCTCTCTTGTAATATTATTGGTGGCGTGTAGGGCCCCCCGCCCCCCTCTCTCAAGGCCCGATGCTGGGCAGAAGAATATCGGACCCCAAACCCTAAACCCTAAACCCTAAACCCCAAACCCTAAACCCTAAACCCTAAACCCTAAACCCTAAACCCTAAACCCTAAACCCTAAACCCTAACCCCTAAACCTGTTGGCCCTCCCCCTCCGAAGGCCTCTGAGGAGCTCCTCTACGAGAGGCAGCGGGCGCAGCACCACGAGGTGGAGTTTCTGAGTAGGCCCTTATTCTGTTTTTTTGTTGGGGCGGGGGGGGGGGGGGGTGGTTAGAGTTTAGTGTTTAGTGCTTAGGGTTTAGGGTTTAGGGTTTTAGGGTTGAGGGTTTAGGGTTAAGGGTTTAGGGTTTAGGATTTAGGGTTTAGGGTTTAGGATTATTGTCCCTTACGGGGTTTCATCGGATTATGGTTAGGGCGTTTAGTTGTTTGCCTTGGATTTCGCTTGGGGATGCGAGTTTGGGGTAGCAAGAAGGCCTTCAGCTTTGGTCTACTCGGAAGTCCTCTTCGGCGCCCTAAACCCCAAGCCCTAAACGGGAAGCCAAAAGGGTTGAGGGTTTTAGGGTTGTAGGGTTTTAGGGTTTTAGGGTTTTTAGGGTTTTAGGGTTTTAGGGTTTGAGGGTTTGAGGGTTTTAGGGTTTTTAGGGTTTTTAGGGTTTTTAGGGTTTTTTTAGGGTTTTTTAAGGGTTTTTTTTAGGGTTTTTTAGGGTTTTTAGGGTTTTAGGGTTTTAGGGTTTAGGGGTTTAGGGGTTTAGGGTTTAGGCTTTAGGGTTTAGGACTACCCTGATCCCCAGCTGACTCAAGCAGAGCATAATGGAGCTGAGATAGTTGGAGTGGGCGGCATGCCAAGTTCTGAGGATTCAGGGAGCCTCCAGGACTTCAGCCGCAGACCCAAACCCACAACCCTACCTAGGGTTTAGGGTTTAGGGTTTAGGGTTTAGGGTTTAGGGTTTAGGGTTTAGGGTTTAGGGCTTAGGGTTTAGGGTTTAGGGTTAGGGTTTCGACAACCCCCAACAGCTCCCGACCCAAGCTCGACACCGGCAATGAAGCCTGTGAGCAGACTCCTGGCACCTATGATAAGGGGGGTGGGTTTAGGGTTTAGGGTTTAGGGTTTAGGGTTTAGGGTTTAGGGTTTAGGGTTTAGGGTTTAGGGTTTAGGGTTTAGGGTTTAGGGTTTAGGGTTTAGGGTTTAGGGTTTAGGGTTTAGGGTTTAGGGTTTAGGGTTTAGGGTTTAGGGTTTAGGGTTTAGGGTTTAGGGTTTAGGGTTTAGGCTGCCAATACTTATTCCCAGATTTAGGATTATGATTGGTATGTTCCCCCTTATACTAACAGTCGTTAGTAGGGATGATAATAGGGGTACTAGAGTAATTAAGACAGTTAGTTTTAGGGGGAACATCCCAAATTACAAGCCCTCCTGAAACCCTCTAAGAAAAACAGTGCCCAAATGTCGGGAACCTGGGTGCCCGCATGTGTACCCCGTGTGTGTCCAGCGTTACTTCCCATACCCTAAACCCTAAACCCTGAACCCTCAACCCTAAACCCTAAACCCCAAACCCCAAACCCCAAACCCTAAACCCTAAACCCTGAACCCTAAACCCTAAACCCCAAACCCTAAACACTAAACCCTCAACCCTAAGCCCTAATGGGTTTGCCCGGACCTGCCACACTGCAACTCGGCTCTTGGGGAGCATTTGGTCCCTTTGTTCCAACCTCCCTTGCGGCATCCTGGGCCGGGTGCAGGCGCGCTTGGCGTCTACGCAGCATTTGGACATGTACCCTAAACCCCAGACCCTAAACCCTAATCCTAAACCCTAAACCCTGAACCCTAAACCCTAACCCCTAAACCGCCAAGAGACCACATGTAACTTCTACTGTGGCTGAAGGCTTCTCTCTTTGTTGTTGGGGGTACGTATTAGGCGTGGGTATGAGGTGTGGGTTTAGGGTGTAGGGTTTAGGGTTTGGGGTTTAGGGTGAACAACTCACCCCAGAAACTCTTCCCCCTAAACCACTCTACCATGCACAAAACGCATGTTAATGAACCATGGGGCAAGGTCATACAATCAGTGGGCAGGTCATGAAAGCGTGGGCAAGGTCATAAAAGCCTCAGGGCCTAGGGGGTCTAGGGGACTAGGGTCCCTAAACCCTAAACCCTAAACCCTAAACCCTAAACCCTAAACCCTAAACCCTAAACCCTAAACCCTAAACCCTAAACCCTAAACCCTAAACCCTAAACCCTAAACCCTAAACCCTAAACCCTAAACCTAACCCTAAACCCTAAACCCTAAACCCTAAACCCTAAACCCTAAACCCTAAACCCTAAACCCTAAACCCTAAACCCTAAACCCTAAACCCTAAACCCTAAACCCTAAACCCTAAACCTAAACCCTAGGCCTGGGTTTAGGGTTCAAGGCTTAGGGTTCCAGGTGTAGGGTTTAAGGTTTAGAGCCTAGGGCGCAGGGCCTAGTGTTCAGGGCTTTAGGGCTTAGGGTTTGGGTTGTGCGTGAACCTTTTTGTATCTTAATGGTATGGAATGGTCTGGGTGGGTGGGTACTCTGCGGGCCCCTGAAAAAGCTAGTGATTGGTCGAACTTGAGATGCTAAACCGTAAACCTACACCCTTAACCCTAAACCCTAAACCCTAAAGCCTAAACCCTCCAAATCCTAAGAGTCTTCTGGGGTACGAAGGCAGGGCCTCCATGCCCTTTCGCGGCCGCCCTGCACGAGGCCACCACTCACACTTCCTTCTTCATGGGTTTAGGGTTTAGGGTTTAGGGTTTAGGGTTTAGGGTTGAGGGTTTAGGGTTTAGCGTTTAGGGTGTAGGGTTTAGCGTTTAGCGTTTAGGGTGTAGGGTGTAGAAGCTCTGCCTTTCACAATTTTGGGTGGAACCCAGACGTGAAAAAGCCACCCTAAACCCTAAACCCTAAACCCTAAACCCTAAACCCTAAACCCTAAACCCTAAACCCTAAACCCTAAACCCTAAACCCTAAACCCTAAACCCTAAACCCTAAACCCTCAACCCTGAACCCTCAACCCTGAACCCTGAACCCTGAACCCTGAACCCTAAACCCTAAACCCTAAACCCCAAACCCTGAACCCTAAGCAAGCTCCTGAAAGTGGGCGCCTGGGAGCCTCCTAAGCCCCAGCACACTCCTCACCTCCTGCGCCTTCAACTGGGTGTTCAGAGCCTCTTGGGCCTTTCGGGGCTTTAGGGGCGTTCGCCCCAAACCCCAAACCCTAAACCCCTTTTTTCTAGACCCTGAACCCTAAACCCTAAACCCTAAACCCTAAACCCTAAACCCTAAACCCTAAACCCTAAACCCTAAACCCTAAACCCTAAACCCTAACCCTATACCCTAAACCTTGAAGCCCTGAACCCTACCCTCAACCCAGAGGCCTCGAGTTGTCGAATTGCGGGGCTCAGCCTGTTTTCCAATATGAGAACAGATTATAACATTGTATACTGGTACAATGCACACACATATGTGTATATATATATATACATATATATATATATAGCAGTGTACCAAAAACACCGAAACCCTAAACCCTAAGCCCTAAGCCCGAAACCCTAAACCCTAAACCCCAGCGCATACCAAAATACTCTAGCAGTGCTAGTCTGATAATCGTTTTGTTGCTTGTTCCAGGCGCTTCCTTCGCAGTCGTCCGCCGGAATCGAGACCTGCTCCTGGTTCCGCATCTCGGATGCAACTGCTTAGGGTTTAGGGGTTGAGAGTTCAGGGCCATAGACTCTAGGGTTTGGGGTTTAGGGTTTAGGGTTTAGGGTCTGGGGTTTGGGGTTTAGGGTCCCTTATTCAAAGCTTTGTGCGCTGTAAGCTGTTCTCAGACAGCTGGTGCAAAGAAAAAAACGCTTGTTGCAAACTCTGCATCCGGACCAGCACCCCCTGTACTGCGGATCCTCTGAGTTTGGGGTTGGGGGTTTAAACCCTGAACCCTAGACCAAAAACCCTAAAGCCTGAACCCTAAACCCTAGACCCTCAACCCTAAACCATTAGCCCTAAACTGGTCAGTAGGGGGATCCTGTGAGTTTAGGGTTTTTGTATCAGTGAGCTGACATGGCGGTGTCTGAAAATAGGGTTTAGGGTTTAGGGTTTAGGGTAACATAGCGGTACCCTTTTTTGGGGGTCCCTTCAGGGGGATTCTATTCCATTTGAGGTATAAAAGGGGTGCCCCTATCTTGGGAAATACCCACATCGTGCTGGTCGAAGGTGGTGGCTTGGCAGGTGCCCTTCTCATCCGAGCGCGTTGCTATGCCTTCGGGTTCAGTGTTGAGGGTCTAGACACGAGTTTCCAACAATTGGGGTAAACCCAAAACCCAAAGCCCAAAGCCCAAAACCCAAAACCCAAAACCCAAAACCCAAAACCCTAAACCCTAAACCCTAAACCCTAAACCCTGTGTAAACCCTCCGGGGGCTCCGGGGTCTGGATCGAGGTACCGCGGGAACTACAACTACGGGCGCGATGAAGGCCCGTGGCCTTCACTGGCTGCTTTGATTAGTAGGGTTTAGGGTTTAGGGTTTAGGGTTTAGGGTTTAGGGTTTAGGGTTTAGGGTGTAGGGAATGGGTTACCCTTAGGGTGTTTAGGGTTCTTAGGGTTTGGGTTTTTTAGGTTTTTTTGTTTTAAAGGTTTTTAGGGTTGAGGGTTTAGGGTTTAAATCCCCCTACAGTAAACTCAAGAAAGTTGGAGCATGGTTTAAGGATGCTTGAAGCTGGGATTCCCTTTAGTATACCTTTTGGGGTGTGGGGATGAGGATGTGCCAACTTTTTGGAGTTTACTGTGTATATATACATATATATATATATGCACCCTTTAAGGGATTATGTAGGGCACCCTGTATCCCCTTATATGTACCCTTTGAGGGATTCTGTAGGGTACCCCCCCCCCCCCCCAATTTTTTGACGGAGACGCCTTCAGGGTTGCCGTAGCCTTTGCCCCAAGCTCCTGAGCACTCTGCGGCTGCTTACCTTACAGGGCTGGGTAGTTGAACTTTAATCTTTTTGGTGGTTATATATATATATATATATACATAGATGGTTATACATATGTATATATATATATATATATACATATACATATATATATATATATGTGTGTATTCCGTTTACAAGAAAAGGTTAACCCTTTTTGGCAATTTTTTGGGGGTATTCAGCCACTAAGTTACTGCAAACCTTAGAGATGCCTTTTTGCGGGACTGGAAGTGAAGTTTCTATAAGCCAGGTGCCAAAGTGCGGCCAAGTAAGGCCCGACAAGTCCGAGATCAACTCCAGAAGCCCAACCCAAGGCCTAAGGCCTAAGGCCTAAGGCCTAAGGCTTAAGGCCTAAGGCCTAAGGCCTAAGGCCTAAGGCCTAAGGCCTAAGGCCTAAGGCCTAAGGCCTAAGGCCTAAGGCCTAAGGCCTAAGGCCTAAACCCTAAACCCTAAACCCTAAACCCTAAACCCTAAACCCTAAACCCTAAACCCTAAACCCTAAACCCTAAACCCTAAACCCTAAACCCCTCAACCCTGTAAACCCTAAAGCCTGGACCGGGAGTAGACCCTTATTCCCATTTTTTGGGGGGTTTGAGCTTCCCTTACAAGCTCCTTTAAGCCACAAAGGGACGCCCTTTTTAAGTCCTAGGGTACTCTTTGGTCTGGAAAACCTAAACCCCATGACCCCTTTCAGGGGTCTGCGTTGGCCATAAATCCCTAGATGCTCCCTAAACCCTAAACCCTAAACCCTAAACCCTAAACCCTAACCCCTAAGCCTCGGTAGCCGCCCCGCAAGTAGCCCAATCCGAAAATTCCTCACGCACGAAGTCCCTGAAGTTTGAGCAACAGTGATAGCATTCGTAACATGATACGAAAAGCTACTTACTTCCTAGTGAGGATCATGGCACCAAACAGAAAGCTACTTGTAACCCTAAAACGTATAAGTTTACATTGTTAGCCCTAAATCCCTAAACCCTAGACCCTACACCCTAAGTCCCTAAATCTCTAAGCCCTAGATCCTTAAACCCTAAACCCTAAACCCTAAGCCCTAAACCCTAAACCCTAAACCCTAAACCCTAAACCCTAAACCCTAAACCCTAAACCCTAAACCCTAAACCCTAAACCCTAAACCCTAAACCCGAAACCCGAAACCCTAAACCCTAAACCCTAAACCCCAAACCCTAAACCCTAAGCCTACATGAAAGCAGGCCCTGTCCACTGGGTGCCTCCGGAAGAGTTCCGCGACTTCGGCGGCGAGGAGGACTACGAAGGACCACCTGGGGGATGTGCTTGAAAGTGCGCGGCCTTTTTTGGGGGGTTTAGGGTTTAGGGTTTAGGTCCCTTTTTTGGGTGGTCCCTCCAAAGGAGTTCTATTCTATTTGGAGTAGAAAAGGGGTACCCCTGTTTTGGGAAATACCCTTATACCCTCCCGCAAGAATGCTCTTCTAAACACAGAGACAAGTTTGTTAACTTCAAGTCTCGAATAGTCACTCATGAAGCTTCAAGCAGGCTTCGGGACGAAGCATGCTACAGTCCCAAGCCCTAAGCCTAATCCCTAAGCCCTAAACCCTAAACCCCAGCAGGTCGTGCAGCAGCAAAAGGCCACTACACTTTAAAACGAAAAAGCCCTAAGCCCTAAACCCTAATCTAGTTAGCAAACATAACCCACAAAGAGAGAGTCGACTTCCAGGTTGGGAAAAGGGGGGTTTTGGAAGGTCCTCAGCCTGTTTAGGGTCGAGGGTTTAGGGTTCAGACCCCATACTTGAGCTTCGGGCCCCTAAACCCGAAACCCGCCTAACTCTAAACCCTAAGCCCTAAGCCCTAAGCCCTAAGCCCTAAACCCTACACCCTAAACCCTAAACCCTAAACCCTACGTTGACGCATCCCCTGGGAGCTCCCCAAGCCCTTTCGACCCTGCTAGCCACAAAAGCCTAAGACCCACAGGCACTTTCCCAAAACAGGGTTTAGGGTTTAGGGTTTAGGGTTTAGGGTTTAGGGTTTAGGGTTTAGGGTTTAGGGTTTAGGGTTTAGGGTTTAGGGTTTAGGGTTTAGGGTTTAGGGTTTGTACCCTTTTTGGGGGAGTCCTGGAAGGATTTCCGTATTTTTTGGGGGACTAGCTCTGTAAGCCCCTAAACCCTAGCCCTAAGCCTTAAACCCTAAACGCTGAACGCGAAACCCTAAACCTTAAGCACACCCTACACCCTAAACCCTCTGAAGCCAACCCTCTGAATCCAGCTTGCAGGCGCTGTATTCGATGCCCACCGCCACCACAAGCGGCACGAGATCACCTACAGCTGCCCTGGCGAGGTTTAGGGTTTAGGGTTTACGGTTTAGGGTTTAGGGTTTAGGGTTTAGGGTGTAGGGTGTAGGGTTTAGGGTTTAGTTTCGGGTTTGGAGTGGGGGATGTTCGGTTAGGGGACTCGCGGAAAATTATCGAAAAGGATCATGGCCCGTAGGCCCTAGAACCTGGGTTTCCCAATCTCTAGGGTTTAGGGTTTAGGGTTTAGGGTTTAGGGTTACATGGCCCCTTAATATGGTCCCTTACCTCCGCTAAAGGTTTTGAAGTATGGGCCCCTGATTGTATGGGTAAGAGGTATATAAGGGGTCTCCGTTGAAGGGCCCAGATTCAGGGACCATGTAACTACCCTTAGAGATTTAACCCTAAGCCCTACGCCCTAAGCCCTGAGCCCTGAGCCCTGAACCCGAAACCCCAAACCCCGAACCCCAAACCCCAAACCCTAAACCCTAAACCCTAAACCCTAAACCCTAAACCCTAAACCCTAAACCCCTAGACAGAATCTGCCAGGATACACCGAGCGCGACCCGGTAGCGCGAGAGAGTGCCGGCCCAAGAGGCTTCGGGACACATCTTGCTGTAAGTTAACAGCGCGATCGTATTCGTAGACACGAAGCCCCAAACCCTAAACCCTAAACCCCCTACCCTAAACCCTATACCCTGAACCCTGAACCCTAAACCCTAAACCCTAAACCCTAAACCCTGAACCCTGAACCCTGAACCCTAAACCCTGAACCCAACCAAAAGGGCGGTGGCCCTGCGGCCCTTTCACGTTGTGCCTCCAAGGCTTCAGGGCTGGAGTTTTAGGCATTGGGGTTTAGGGTGTAGGGTTTAGGGAAAGGCCTGCAGCCAACGATGAAACCCCCCTGACCGGAGTTGGGTTTGGGCTTTAGGGCTTTAGGGCTTGAGGGCTTTAGGGCTTTAGGGCTTTGGGGCTTTCGGGCTTTGGGGCCTTAGGGCTTCAGGGCTTTAGGGCGTTAGGGCTTTAGGGCTTTGGGGCGTTAGGGCTGTAGGGCTTTCTTTAGGGCTTTAGGGCTTTAGGGCTTTAGGGCTTTAGGGCTTTAGGGCTTTAGGGCTTTAGGGCTTTAGGGCTTTCGGGCCTTGGGGCCTCAGGGCTTTAGGGCTTTAGGGCTTTAGGGCTTTGGGGCTTTAGGGCTGTAGGGCTTTAGGGCTGTAGGGCTTTAGGGCTTTAGGGCTTTAGGGCTTTAGGGCTGTAGGGCTTTGGGGCTTTGGGGCTGTAGGGCTTTATTGCCTTGGGGCTGTAGGGCTTTAGGGCTTTGGGGCTTCAGGGCTTTAGGGCTTTAGGGCTGTAGGGCTTTAGGGCTTTGGGGCTTTAGAGGGCTAGGGCTTTAGGGGTTTAGGGCTTCAGGGCATTAGCGTTTTAGGGCTTTAGGGCTTTAGGGCTTCAGGGCTTTAGGGCTTTAGGGTTTAGAGTGTCGAGGGTCAAAGTTCGCGCCTGCCTGCCTTCTTGCTCAAGTTGCCAAACGCAACACCACAACCTCAGACCCGAAGCGAAGAAGCGACTACCGTCTTCAGTTCTCATAGCATGCTTGCCTTTTGAGAGCCTTCCTTCAGACCCTAACCCTAGACACTAAACCCTAAACACCAAACCCTAAACCCTAATCTTTAAACCCTAAACCCTAAACCTTAAACTCTGAACCCTAAATCCTTAAAGCCTAAATACCCTGGCCCGAAGCCCTAAACACTAAGCCCTAAACAGACCCAAGCCCTCAATCCCTCTGCCATAGATCCCCGAAACTCCCTACCCAAAGCCCCCGCCCTAAACCTAAAATCCCCTAAAACCCCTGAAATCCTAACAACGCCCCCAAAACCCCCCAATAAACCCAAAAGCCCCCTCAGACCCTACTAAGCCCCTCAAGTCTTTGGGGGTTCCAACATTGGGGTACCCTTTTTTGGGGGGGTCCCTTTAAGGGGATTCTCGGATTCTCTTCTATTTCGGGTTTTAAAAAGAAGCCCCTCAAGTATTCTAGGGAATGAGGGAGTTAGGGCCTTACATATATATATATATATATACCCTTTAAGTACTCATTCCCTCATTCCCTTTAAGGGATCCTGAAGTTAGGGTACCTCATGCCCGACGACGAGCCGGCCAGTTGACGTGAAGTGACCCCGAAACCCTAAACCCTAAACCCTAAACCCTAAACCCTAAACCCTAAACCCTAAACCCTAAACCCTAAACCCTAAACCCTAAACCCTAAACCCTAAACCCTAAAACCCCGAAACCCTAAAACCTAAACCATGCTCTCGGTGCGGCTGCTCTCTGGGTCGCCCGTAGCCTCCCTGGCTCCCGATGATCCGGACCACTTGGGGAGTGACCTACATGAACCCTAAACCCTAAACCCTAAACCCTAAACCCTAAACCCTAAACCCTAAACCCTAAACCCTAAACCCTAAACCCTAAAACCCCGAAACCCTAAAACCTAAACCCTCGTTGTTTTTAGGGCTCAGGGTTTCGACTTCCCTCCTCGCCACCTTGCTGTGGGCAGCTGTTGGTATGTAGGGGGAGCCTCAGAGCTCTTAAATACCCTAAAGCCCTAAAACTCTGCGCTCATCCCCCCCTCACCCAAAGACTACCCCCCCTCGCTCCCTGCCCCCAGGGCTTAGTAGGGTTTAGGGTCCTCCCCCCCCCCCCCCCCAACCCTTCCTTACCCTTGAGCCCAGAAAACCTCCTGCTAAAACCTCAAAGCCCTGGGTTTAGGGGGGTTGGGGCACACGGTCTGCCTTAAGTTACAGGCTAGGGTCTTCATGAATGTTTAGGCTTCTCGGGCAACAAGGCCTGGGAACTAAGCCCTGAACCCAAAAGCAAGCAGCACCAAACGGGTTTGCCATGTCAGTTCTGGGCCTTTTTAGGCACCCTCCAAAGCAAGGGTTTAGGTTAGGCTTTTGCGGGTTAGAGCTTAGGGTTTAGGGCTTCGGGAGGAATATGAACACAAACCCTAAACCCTAAACCCTAAACCCTAAATCCTAAGTCCTTAAAGCGCCCGAAGCCCTCTGGTGCGGCTAGCGCAGGAGTTGGAGGGCGCGGTCGTGCGCAGCTTGCGTCTACAGGCGGGCGAGCCTACAACCCTCAACCCTAAACCCTCGACCCTAAACCCTCAACCCTAAGCCCTGAACCCGAAACCCTCCACCCTCAGCCCTGAACCCGAAACCCTAAATTCCTAAACCTGAACCCTAAACCCTAAACCCTAAACCCCAAAACCCTAAACCCTAAACCCTAAACCCTACGTAAGCCCTAAACCTGGGGAGTCACTGGGGGCCCACCCTGCCCGACCGAGTGATCACACGTAGGATGGGAGGCCCCACATGGCTCGCAAGAGACGATGAAATCTGTTTTTTAATGATAGGGTTTAGGGTTTAGGGTTTAGGGTTTGGGGTTTGGGGTTTAGGGTTTAGGGTTTAGGGTTTAGGGTTTAGGGTTTAGGGTTTGAGGTTTACATACCCCAACATGCTCAATGCTCATTCTAGGAACCCCCCCCCCCCCCCCCTGAAAAGGGACCCCTAATCTCCGGAACTCCTCATGTAGGGTGTAGGGTTTAGGGTTTAGGGTTTAGGGTTTAGGGTTTAGGGTTTAGGGTTTAGGGCACCTATTAACCCATTGTACGTGTAGTTATAACCCACATATAAGCCTCTGAAGTACCCTCATAGGATTATAAATGGGTTATAAAGTACAGTTATATTTGGGTTACTAAGTACCATGTAGGGTTAAGGGCTTGGAGGTTTGGGGAAAACTGGTCCTTGCTGGCCTGACAACCTGAGCCGCTCCAGAACTTGGTAAACGTTTGTTTGAGCACCGCGCAAGAGGACATCAGCCGTACTTGAAATCTTGCGATGTGTGCCAGAGTGCGCGTGGACGTCTTCCTGCGAGACGCAGGGATATGAAGCTCCACGCTGGGCCTGGTGAACTCTTCCGCTTTCTGTTGGCCCTGCATGTCATATCTGGATATGTTGGTCTGGTTGTGCTTGGTCCAGAAGAGCCTGTTCCAAGCCCCGGGGTGAACAGCATGATCTGTGAGATGGGGCTCCATGGCCTCGATGTCGTGACGCATGGTGATCAGGAGAACCTTTAAGAAAAGGCCTTCAAGGGCGCTGCGTGGTTGTGCACCTTTGTCGGACGATCTCTGCATTGGCTTCCCTTTGCCTTTGGTAGGCCACAGTCAAAAGGGATTGTAGAGAGGAACATTGGTTTGATAAAAGGAGGCATTTTGGTCTGTTTGGCTAGGTCTTGAAGAGAGAGTCGGGGAAAAGTTGGCCTTAGGTGGGGATTTGTTTGTGGAAGCATTGCGATGGATGCCGGAACCTCAGCCCCTGAACGCTAAACCCTAAACCCTAAACCCTAAACTCCAAACCCTAAACCCTAAACCCTAAACCCTAAACCCTGAACCCTGAACCCTGAACCCTAAACCCTAAACCCTACACCCTAAACCCTAAACCCTAAACCCTAAACCCTAAACCCTACACCCCAAACCCTAAACCCTAAACCCGAAACCCTAACCCCTAACCCCTAACCCCTGAACCCTAAACCCTAAACCCTCAACCCTAAACCCCAAGCCCTAAACCCAGAATCCGCAGGAAGGAGTTTTTATCTGCCGAGGTCTCGGTTTAGGGTTGAGGGTTTAGGGTTGTTGGATGGGAAGACCCTATTTGATTTTTCTGCTATTGCTCAGCTAGGCCCTCAACCCTAAATCTCAAACCCTAACTACTTAGTAGCTGAGTAGCCAGATAACCTCTAAACTGTTGGGGTATATGCAGTCCTACCGTAATAGAAGGGCTAACCTTTTTTGGGCCGGGGTACTAAGCAACTAGGACTAAGTTGGGTGAGAGCCCCTAAACCCAAAACCCAAAACCCAAAACCCTAAACCCTAAACCCTAAACCCTAAACCCTAAACCCTAAACCCTAAACCCTAAACCCTAAACCCTAAACCCTAAACCCTAAACCCTAAACCCTGAACCAAAACCCTGAACCCTGAACCCTGAACCCTAAACCCTCAAGACAAAGTAAATAGAAATTGTATGTAGTATCATTTTTGAATTTTCCAAGATATTTGTCTAAACAGCTGACAAACAGAATTTAAGTAAATTAATCCAAAGAGGAAGGCCAAATGTTCAATTTACTTAAACCTTTGGGTCCCGGCAAACCAAAGCCCAAATCGCCTCCCAAAGCCCAAAATAGCACAAAATTGGCTTCCAAAGCCCGAAATTCAAAACTGGCTCGGCCAATTTTGGGCTTTGGAGCCAATTTTGGCTTTGGAAGCCAAAATTGGCGAAGCTAATTTTGGGCTTTGGGGCCTTTTGGGCTTGGGGGGCCAATCTTGGGCTTTGGAGCCAATTTTGGGCTCTGGGAGCCAATTTTGGGCGCCAATTTTAGGCTCGAGGCCCAATTTTGGGCTTTGGAGCCAGTTTTTGGGCTGTGGAAGCCAGTTTTGGAATTTTGGGCTTTGGAGTCAATTTTGGGCTTGTTTGGGGGCCAATTTGCGGCTTTGGAGCCAATTTTGGGATACTTTTGAAATCATATTTTGATGTTAA